AAAGTACAAAGGTTGAAATCAGTATTTTGAACATTCACAAAGCCTAGGTTGGTGAAAAAAAAAACTGCTGACATAGTATCCAAATTATTTTATTCAATAATCAGCAAGTCAAACATGTAATCAAGTAAAGTATTAGCATCATTACTTTCATTGATTAAAAATTATTAAAATTATAAAATTACTAAAATATTCATTAAACAATATAATCACAAAATTTTATAATTTTCCATAAATATCAACTAAAAAATATATTCAAAATAATGATATTATCGTATTTATTAAAATTTGAGAAAATAGTATTAATTACACGTTATTGACTATGACAAATTTATTAATTTTTTAAATGACTAGTAATTTAAAAAGTCATATTAATATACACATCCAATAAAGTATAAAATATTAATTTTTTTCACCAAATAATGTTGTAAACATATCTTTTTTGGGATCTCTTTCCAGAATATGCTGTGAATGTTCGGCAATGTAATTAACCGTTGAGGGCCTACTGGTCAGAGCCACTTAATTTCTGTTCAGGGTTTCATGTTTAAGACGATGGAACAAAAATTAGTACACAGAACTCAGTGCTGATAATGTCAACACTTTATTGACATATCTCTGCTCACTTTAATTTTTCGAATATACAAGAATAATACTATCGCTGTAACGAGAGAAAGATGAAACAAGAATTATTTAAAAGAAAAATAACACACGATTCCGAGGTATGATGCGATGACAATAGGTCAATTTTAAAAAAAATGAAATTGTATTTTAAAATATGATTTAGTCATATTTAAAAAAAAATTATTTAAAGAAAATAAAAAGGGGATTACAGTTTAAACTTGGCCGGCAACAAGATTTTGAGCAACAATGCTTCGTGTTGTCATGTGTAACATGACCAAGACGTATTTCACAGGCTGAAAGCGTCAATTTGCAAATTGTAATATGCAATAAATTATGCATAAACTCACATGGCTCCACTACCCAAAAGAAAAGACTCACATCACATGTAGCTAATTTAATAGCATCGGTTGAGAGAATATGCCACACACGTGTAGCGACACTAAATTTTAGTTTTAAGCAAATTTTCAACTAAACCCCGATAAGGACAACATGGTCCAACCAGGAAATCACCGGATACTTTATTCACTGTCCCTTCTTGTATGGTAAGTTGATTCAGCGGCCTCTTCCTTTAAAACCAGCTACGCCAAACCTCTCTCTCCCGGTGCAAGCAAAAGGAAATGCCTCCCTCGTACTGCGTGAAGGAGAGTAAACCCTGCGTGGGTTGGGTTCAGATTTACTTCGACGATTGTCTCTGCAATCTTAAAGATGAAATCTCCTTTGCCTTCGGCTTCATTAGTCTCATATGTTGGGGAGTAGCAGAAATTCCTCAGATTATCACCAACTTTCGCGCTAAGTCTAGCCATGGTGTCTCCCTTGCCTTTCTCCTCACTTGGGTCGCTGGGTTCGTCAACTTTTCCCACTTTCATTCTCTTGTAATTTCATTACTGAAACAATTAGTCTAATACTCTAATTCTTTTGCCAAACTATTCTGATGCAGCGACATATTCAACCTCGTTGGATGTGTTCTGGAGCCAGCCACAGTACGTCACTTTTAACCACTTACGTCGAAATATTTGTTTTGTTCCAGTTCTTTCCTGCTCTAGTGTTTTATGTTTCTGTAAAATATGTTCTGTTTGAACTACTTACTGTGATTGCTCAATTACTTTATTTTCTTGTTTTTGTGTTGTGTTTTTCTTCCTGCGTTTTGGATGGATGCAAAACCAGTTGCCGACTCAGTACTACACAGCTCTGGTAATTACTGTACTCCGGAATTTTCTCCATGTCTCTATGGGTCTTTTAGATCTTAAAGCAGACCTTTAAATTTTGTTTAGCCTTGGGGAATTGCATGTTTTTGGATGTGTCAGCTGATTTTTATTGACCTCAGTTTTAAAATTTTACAGATTCTCATGAGTGCATTTCCAACAGCGTTGCTCTTAATAAAAAGTATCTATTAATATAAAATACTTAACAAGTTTATTTAATATTTATTTTTTCGTCTTTAATTGGAAACATTCTAACTCTTGTCAATGCATTCAAGGCGTTTATTAGCAAAATCCTTCATATAAATTAAATTGATTTGCATTTCAAATGCAAGATTACAATAACTTCATATAAGAATTTTAATCCAACCCAAGAAAATTATTTCTTATTTTACTTTAATTGTATTTTTAAGACTAAACTTAAATTTCAACTTTCTATTATCAAGCATATATTTAATTTTTGGAAATAAAATTTGTGACTTTCAACATTGCCGAACACACTGTTCTGAACTTTTAAACTACTAATATATTTACCAAAATAGGGTAGGCCCAATTATTACAGGAATACGACAAAGCTACGACATGTCACCAAGTTCAAGGTCACCTATTGGACACGTGTTATTGTATTCATTCCAGAGACAAATTTACGGGAAAATGTTATTTGGAAATCATCTCTTCTCCTTTTTCATGTTTTACGTCTTCTTATATTTTGTAATAATTTCTAAAGTATAAAAATTTTTATTTTTATAATTATTTCAAAAGACACACTTCTCATAAATTTAAATTAATTAATAGTCTTAAAAATTGTAGAGTGATTTATTAAACTTAAAGTCTTACGTGATGTACAGCTTTACACAATCACTACTATTGTGCTAGTGCTGCAAAGCTTCTATTATGACTATATCTCTAAATGGGGGATGCGTCATCAAAAGATCAACATCGACGAGGTACAGTGATGATTTCCAATTTCTTATGGCCCCCACTCTGCTAATCAAAATTGAAATTTAATCTACAGAGACATGTTCGCTCAAAGTACAAGCTTCCCACAGAGAACATGTATATTTCATGAACTTAATAGTTTATTATGTTAAATATAGGCACATGAAGAAGAGAAAAAACCCTTGAAACCCAAACCAGGGCCCCAGTCTGGGATTGCAATACAAAATGACGAACCCAAAGCATCGCCTCGACCGGAATACTATTATAGGTAAATATTGTCCTTCAATTCGGACTTCATATAAGTACTTTTTTGCAATCTTAAAAAATGGTTTGATTAAGAGATTATGCAGCTAATTAGATGTTTTTGAGTTAATTAAACAGGTCGGCGAGATCTTTGGCTGCTAATGACACTCCACCATATGGCACCTACTTGAGAGCTGCTAAAAGTGTCCCTTCAGCCTTGGAAATAAACAATGATTCATCCTCTGATGATGAGGCACCTCCACTTTCTTCCTCCAAACCTGTAACACAGCCTAGACCCATCCCTCGATCTGTCCCTGTGAGTTTTTCTCCTTCAAATTAAGGTTAATAGAATTTCGATGAATGTCTCAAAGGTTGATATATTAATTAGGTTTCTCAGTGTTGTACTTTTGTTTTCATTCACAGGAATTGTAATCTTAAATGATGTATATACGTATAACGTGATCATCAAAATTTTCAGCAGTGCCTGAGACTATTTACTTTACCGTTTAAATTGAGTCGCTCCAAATTTTGCTACAGGCAGAGTAATATCCTTATCTCCTTATGCATATTTACTTTATATTTTTCAGGCAAGCTATGGAACTTTTCTAGCAGCATCTATGAACTTGCCCCGGCAGGGTAATGCTTTGAAGGAGGGATACATGAGATTCAATGGAAGAAAACTACTCTTGCAGGTATACATAGCCAATTGTACTGGTTAATTAATTTATTCATAAACTGGTATAATCATTTCTTCAGAGTAGGTTTGCTTTCCAAAATTGGACTACCTTGCTGCCCCTAAATTTTTATAACTCATCACAGGAGCAAAATAGGCACAGTGCCTTGGGTCAATGGTTAGGATGGTTCATGGCTGTTATCTATATGGGTGGCAGGCTTCCTCAAATATGGTTGAATGTATGTCTCAGAACTTTCTCTTTTATTCAATATTTTTCTGTGTTAGTTACTGATAAAGTTGTTGGTTACGTAATCATTGGCCAGATTAAACGAGGGAGTGTGGAGGTAATCTTTGATCTTGACCATTTTCTTTTATTCAAATTATAACTCACATTGTAATTCTACTGATTTATAGTTGTTCTCTCTCTTTCTCATGATAGGGCTTAAATCCTCTTATGTTCCTCTTTGCATTGATCGCCAATGCCACTTACGTTGGAAGGTTTCTATTTCCCTTCATTGCATATGTTTCATTGCATATGTTTTTTAGCCTGTTATTATGCAACAAACTAAAATTAAGTAATATTCTAACTCCTCTGTTGTTCTGTCATGTGTGAAGTATTCTCGTACGAACTACCGAATGGGAAAGCATCAGAGCTAATATGCCATGGCTGTTGGATGCTATAGGTTGTGTGGCATTGGACCTATTCGTATCCTTTATAAACAATTTTTTCATGCAACTGTTAATTTAAAAGATTTGTTATGAACAAGAAATTGTCCATTTTTATTTTTCAAAACTTACCCTTCAAACATATCCTTATAGAAACATGTTTAGGACTACAAAGTTGTTCAACCTTAACAATGGCAGATAATTTTGCAGTACGCCAACTATAGATACATTCGGAAGAAAGCAAGAAGTAATGATGCTGATTATGAGAACTACAACGAAGCCAGTAAAACTTTCGTGTCGTGATATGCAGGACTGTAAAAATCCATGTTAATCTTCCCAAAAATGAACCATTATAATACTTCGATTCCACCATTACATTCGGCTATTTGTAAGGCGTGGCTAGAAAATTGAAGTGGACTAATTAGAAAACGCGTTTATTCGAGTGTTAAAATGTGCTATAGGAAGCTATCAAAGTCATCAATGTGTTTATGAATTATGAATCGTTCACGATTCTTACACCTGCTACAAATTTATGAAAACTTTTAACCATTCACGATTCTTATACCCTCCTATTATTCCACTTTTTGTCTCACCAAATCGCTGTCAACAGCTAACAATTTAAGATGGACTTGATTACTTCTATCCTATCTCAAGATTGTGAATTATGAAGCATTCTTCAAACTGTATATGACTGCTAATCTCTGATTGAAAACCTTTCTCTTCATGTCGCTGTAACACCGATAGGATTGATGATTTTGCATTCTATAATGCACGAACAGGGATAACTCCACTGGCCAAGTTTAAAGACTACAGAAATTATAAAAAAAGATATGTTCCAAAGTACATAGATTAAAAATAAATTGCTTTAAAAATGTAGGTACATAAAAACGAAATTAAATCTACCTAAAATTGCATTAACTTCTATCTATTTCCTATTGTACATCTTCAAGGAAAGAAAATTTTGGTTGAACTAGCTTATAGTCTAGACTAGATTTCATGACTTGGTGTTTCTGATCCAAGATCATGATATTTTTGTATAAAAATTGACAGGGCCTTATATTCTTTTACCCTTTTCTTTATATATAAATGAGAAAGTAATACAGTTTATTATGTCATCATAAAATGATATTAAAGTTGGTAGTTGTATTTTTTCATGAGATAATTTTTTCTAATGATTCTATTAATTTTAAAATTGATTCAATATTATATGGTTTAATCCCTATTTTACATTTGAGTTTTAATGTTTCAACTTGGTAACTTATCATATTAATTACCACCCACACAATTTTCTAACATACAACACAACACCATAGGACCACTCATACGAAAGTTAGTAAAACAAAACCTGTTTATGTTTACTAATTTGTAATAGATTCAGAAAGTGAGTTGAGATACTCACTAAAGTGAGATGCCAACCAACCTACCTTATATACTACTATTTGAATTTATTCTTCAACGACTTAACCAAAACACCTTCTGCTAAAAGCTTCTAATGCAGTATTCCTCGTTTTTTTTTTCTTTTTAGTAATTTATTACAATAGTTGTTTTCTTGCTTTTAAAAATAATTTGTCTTTCAATAAGTTTCTTATGAGAACCAAAAGACTATAAAGAAAAATGTGTATTAGTCTATTGGAAAATGTCATGAATATAGAAAAGGATAACACTTGGGTTATTGTTGATTTTTCTTTAGGAAAATATCCATTACCTATAATCGGATTTATAAAATCAAATTTTATGGTAAAAGTAAATTACCAACCATAAAAAAAACTATTCACAAAGGATTATAATTACAAATCTCCGTCGCCTATCTATCATGGGAAAGGACAAGTTGGTAGAAAACCTACAAATATTTTTTTCGTGTAAATTTATTTTATATTTATTCTAAAAAATATATTATTAATTATATGAATATTTTTTATTTTTATTTATGAATTAATATTTTTATTAAATAAAAAAAATATTATATTTGTGTGATAAAATACCCAATTATAATTAATAATTTAAGTTTAATTGATTAATATTTATTATTTAAATTATATTTTAATAACATAACATAAAAAAAATATAATATTTTTAATTTTAATATATCTTTTTTAAAAGTGGGTCAGTCACTTGTCCCGCCCACTTTTAATCCGATGTGTTAACAAAAATTATTAATTCGTTTAAATAATTTGAGATAGACCAGCGGATCCACCACTAAAATTATATCATTTTGTCATTCCTGTATATATTAAATTAATCATACACTTTCTCAAATTATTAATTATAAAAATAAGGTAAGAAAAAATATCATAAAATCAAATATAATGAGGTTTTAATATATTTAAAAAAAATAATTCCTCATCTTTAATAGGTAAAAATTCTATATAACGATCAAATTCATCTTAAGATCTCTTTTATATCTTTTTATTAAAATATTGATGTGTGTCAATCATCTTACATATTTAATATAAACTATTTGAAAATATTCAGTACTAAAAATTCTCATTTTTTATGGGAATATTTTTATAAAGTTTTTGTAAAAATTACAATACATAAGTTTTTTATAAATTTAAACAATTTTTTGCAAGAAATTTGACAAAGAAAAACTAGTTTTCTAGTAATGATTAATCTTGATTATAATTTGATTTTGGCACTTTTTCTCCTTTTGTAAGCGAGAATAAGGCTCCATTTTCAAAACTGTTTCCACTGAATGAAATTTCCATGTATCTCCATTTGTATGAGTATTCTTTCTCCATGTTACCTATGCACATTAAATAATCAACAAAAGACTAATATAAATTGCTTTATATGTGCAATATTCAAAATTTGCAACGTTCTAATAATTAGATATTAAGTAGTTGAAATGGAATTATAAAACTTGATTGATTACCTCTTTATTTCTTTTTGTTGGTGCTATAAAGATATTAGCTTCACTTTTTGAGGTTAGGTCTCATGTTTCTATCAATGGCATATTAAATCCATCCTACATAAACATTGTTCGCTACATTTACATATTCACGACGAATCCTAGATTTTTTTATTTATTCATAACTAAAATTAATAATGTGTAATATTTTTAAATTTTTGCATATTAATATTTTAATTAAATAATTAATTATCTTGACATATATTGATTACAATAGATACAAAGTGATTGTATATAACAATAACATTTTTGTCTCTTATAACCATTATCACGTACAAGAAACAAAATTTTATCTTAATTTTTAAACCAGTTATTAGATATAATTACATAGGTAAACCTTATGTTACGTTAAGTAGATCATATTGACATTTATAAAATGTATTATGATCCATCTAAATATTTGAAATAGTAACCAATCTTATTGCAAACCTATCTACTTAATCCAAAGGAATTACCTTTCCTTGCCTCGTCACATTCCCTAGGGCTTGAAGTTTCCAATGATGAATTTGAATGAAATGGATGATTATATAGGTGATCTTGAAATAAAATAGATAAAAAAAATTGTCAACAAGTTTTATACCTAAACAAAATTTACAAAATTGTATGTGTATGCATGTCTAATTAGGAGAAATTAGTGAATAATTATCTTAAAGATTATTAAACATGTATTGTTAGCAATGTCAACATTATTACTTGGACCATCAATGTCTCTTTGGAATGTGATCCATATTTTACTTTGAATTGCATAAGCTCCATACATCAAAGTTGTTGGGTAATCCAAATGTAATTTTAAGTATCATATTGAGTATGAATAAAAAAGTTGAGTACATAAAGAAAAAAGATCTATAATTCAATGTCTTAAAGTTTTGAGTTAAATATGGTGTTAATCCCTTATATGAGTCGAGTTCATGACTTATTGATATTGTCTCTCCTCCTCCGTGAATACTTCCTTAAAAGACCCAACAAAAGTATAAGATGTAGGATTTATAGGATTATCATGGGGTCAATAACCTTAAAATGGAAAAAATCTTTATTAACGTTGTTTGTCATCCTATTAATATAACTCACATACAATATGTCGATAATTGAGATTTATGCATCTCCATATTTAGGATTCAATCTCCAACGTCGATCAATTACATTCATTTTTAATCCAATTATTTTAGATTATTTGGGAACTTTAAAATATATAAAACAGCAACAATAATAACTAGAGTAAAACATCGAGAATTTATATGATTCTTATTTTTTTCTATAAATATGAATTATAAAAAATATAAATAAAAGGATAATATATGTTTGATAATATATTCTAAAAAATTATAATAAAGAAATAATTATAGAGATAAAATTCATTTTCATATTAGTTTAAATTGTTATCACATATAAAATTACAAATATAAACAAGTTACCTTATTTATTTAAAATATTATTTTTAAATTATAACAATTTCCTAATTTTATATATACCTAAAAGTGAAATTAGAAATTCGGATATTCTAAAAAAAAGATTAAAAAAATAGTTTATGAATATTTTTAGAATATTTGTATTTTAACCTAAACCACAACGAATAGATATGGGACTCAGAAAAAAAATTCCTTTTAGAATAACCTTTCTTTGTTATTTTGTTTTAATATCTATCTATATAAATATATATATATATATATATATATATATATTTATTTATTTTATAATTAGTATCAGAAATCTAATTTTCTTATATATAATAAAAAAATTATATAATCAATTTTTTTCTATTTTAAAAAAGAAATATGAAAAAAAATATCATAACCTTAATAGTCAAATTTATATAGTTTCAAAATAGTATATCTTGATTTATTTTTCAAATACCGAAATTCATAAATATGATTTTGAATATTATTTAACATCTTATAAAATTATATAGCTTACGTGTTCTTATTAAATTGTGATGTAATAGATTTTTTATAAACAACTATGTGATTGTTATATTTGTTGAAATCAGTTTTATCGATATATAAAAAGAAAATTTCAACGTATTATACAATTTTTTTATTTTGTCAAGACCAACTAAATATTAATAATAAATTATTATTATTATTATTATTATATATATATATATATATATATATATATATATATATATATATAAAGACAAAACAAATACAACATAACAAAAGGAAGGGTTATAAGAAAATCATTCAAAAAATTATTCTCTCATTTATTTATTTTATTTTAATCTAGAAAAATTATGTCATTATTTATAATGCAATTAATTTTTCGATAACCACTTTTATTTATTTTAGACTTATAACTCCGTTTTAAAAATAAATTAAAAAAACTGCAGATTAATGAAATAAATATTATTATAAGTTGAAAAAAAAATTAATCGGTGACGCTTTTAATTATCTAAGCCATACATTTGTCTCTAACATATTATTTTAATTTTTTTTCTCAATAACATTATTTTCAAGTTACTCTCAAATTTTTAAAATTTTTTTCTCTTTACATATTATAAATAGTATTTTCCATAATTTATAGTATAAAAAAATTGATTTCCTATTAAAAAATCCCTTAAAACCACTTCTTACAATTTTATCCAAACAATAAAATAATTGTAGTTATAATTAATTATTACAATTATCTAACTGCCACCCCAATCACAATGTATAGAAACACACTCTGCACCACTAACAAATCTAATTTAACGATCGATACATTTCATGCCTAAAACTCATCCTATCATACTTTCTTTTTTGTATCGTGTTGGAAAGGCCTAAGACTAAGACCAAATCTTTTTCCTTTTAAGTGTTGAAGCCCACTTCTTACTTTGCCATAAAAATACAGAGCCATGACAAAATGACAACATATACGAATGGGCCAAGAGGTGGAGCCATGAAGCTTTAGGTATTTGTCTGTGATTGAAGCAAGGTGAAGCGATGGTCAATCAATTTCAAAAACTCCAAATTGAATATGACAATAAATAAAAAAACAAAAAATGGTAATAATGTTTGTGTATTTTAATGTAATAAGCTTCATCTTTGATTCAATTTTGAGTTTCTAGAGATTGAAGTAGCTTAGAAATCAATTGTTGGTTCTAGCTGTGAAAGAAACATACAACCAAAATAGATTGTAACACATCTCACTGTTGCTTTTGGTGTAAAAAACAGAGAGACAGGAACCCCCACCCAACACATCTTCACAATGAAATAAAAAAACAGAGAAGAAAATGATAAAATGATAAACAAAGCAACCAAAAAAATTAATGTGTGTCCTAACTTTGAATGCCTCATTCAGTTCTAACCGAAATTTTAGGGAGTTTGTTCATCTCAATGCTACATCTCATTTTCTTTCATTTTCTGTCTGTTAGGTCATGTGCTACTCTCTCCATCCCTTTATTTCTCTGTCTATATTTTATGCCCATGCATCTTATTCCTCTATCAAACTCTCATTAATTTGACCATATAATATAAAACCATTATGATGCCATGATTTCGTATTTAATTTACAATACCATAGTAATCCGCGTACCCCATGTTCTATCACCCTGTTTACGTTGCCTAGAAATGTAGATACATGCATAAGTTGACTTAAAGATTAAACTAAGGTATGCCTAAATATTGGTGTGGACTCGGTGCAATTTTTAATGTCTCAGCATCTTTCTACTGTTTCAAAATCTAGTCTTTTACGTCGTCCAGTCGCCGAAACTAGCATGCTACCTATGGCAATCACATAGGATCTAGCAAAAAAAAAAAAAAAACCCTAAAATTTATACTCTAATACTTTCCATGGGTGCCTCGGAATTTCCCTTCAAAGTGATTACACAAACTATGATAGTAGATTTGAATTGCATCAAGCAGTCTGGTTGACCTTTGAGTATACTCTTTCAAGTTTCCAACAATCGTTTCATAAAAATAATAACAATTTAACTTAAAATCATCCAAGGAGTCAGAGGTTATTTTGACTGCTTTATGTCATCTCTCATTATTGGAAAAACATGCATGTTACTCCTATTTAGTTTAAAATAAATGTTATGTTAAGCAATGAAAACATTATTATTATTTAATCTTACCTCAAACTATCATATTTTTTATCTTTAATTATATGTTTGATACTTTAAATCATCTTTCTCTTTTAACTTACCATCTTTTATGTCAGTTTCTAAGTTAAACTTCAGTTTTTTTAAGAAATTGTCACTGATTAAAAGTGATTTCATATCACAATTTACATTACTTATTACGAATTCAATATATGTATATATAAAAAAAACAAACATTTAAGCAAGGCATACATGTTTCTGTTAATGTTAGCTTTCTATTAATGTTCTATCTGTCATTTGCATGTTCTCCTAGAGCTTACCACCTTAATTTATTTATTTTTATGTATAGTGATTTTCTTACAAAACATGTTAAAAGATAGAACATTTAAATTTTTTTTATAAGACTCATGTTAAATATCTTTTACCTTCTTAGAATACCCTACAAGCGAACCATTTTTTTTTACCTTATTTTCATTCAGTTTGCATGGGCCCTTAAAGCACCAGTAGTCGAATAAGTTTGATGACGACGTGATGACTCATTTTTCGTTTGGTTAAAAAAATGACAAATAAATTATATAAACAAAATTTATTTATTTCTTTCATTTCCTCTTAACCAAAGCTTGATGAGTGGAAGTTAGACGCGTAGAGGCCTTTTATGACGAATCAATGTTAACGTACGTTCTGACATTGATTCCTCCATATATTGTAGTAGTACATTTTTGTTGTTACGTTTTAGTGGGAAAACTTGACTTTTGCTTCTATTTGTTCACATTTATTCACCTATGTACGATTCGGTACTAGGCTATTGATTATTCCAGAATAAAATTGAAAAGCGGATGCATAACCACCACGGTCCACAGCATTGTGTAATGTAATCAATGGGAATATTGAAGATTGGGTAGAAACAAGTTTATGGGATTAATTAATTGGCATCTCTTTCTACCATCTTCTATGTTTGCGATTAGTTTTCTTATAATACAGTATTTGCATAACCTTTTCCCAGCACATGTCAAATATCACAAATGCGTATCATTTGTACAAATTTTATATTTAAATTCCGGTGAACAAATACGTAGGTGATCAATTTTTTAAGTGAGATACCCCACACCCATTTGTTATCAGAAATGATTATTCACCACCAAACAATCATCATCAACGTAGTCAAAATCTTGAAAAGCAATGCTGGGCTTTCCCCTGACAATAGAAGAGGATTCAGTGGGAGAAGAAAAATATCCAAATACTCATCCCCACTCGATCCTTTTTCAGATCCGTAGTTAAATAGACTCAACGTCACCGACACAACACGCACTCCCTTTTAACTTTGAGAAATGATATTTTGACACCACTGTTCCTCTCATATAGGCAACCACTGTTCAATTTGGTATCGAATCCCATGATTGCCTACTCCCATTTCACTCACGTAATAAAACCACCACTGTTACTTCCCAATCACCAATTTTGCATACACCCACTTTAAAAAAACATCCAAGAAAAAAAAAAAAAAAAAACTATATTAATATAAAAATATTGGTATTGGATTGATTTCATTGTTAGAAGTTACAAGAAGTAACGGTGGTATTTCACTGCCTGAAAAGAAAAAAAAAAAAAATAGAGGATATATGTACTTGGCTGTACAGTGTAAGATCAACACGGGCATGGCATGAGCCACGGCGAGGAAGGAGCGACTCCAGCGCCAGCTCCCAAGGACAAGCCATATACAACACCACTGCTAAATCAAAACTACTTCCGCCAAAGCAAAAATTTTTAAAAAAGAAAATTGACTCCTTTTTTTTTTCAAAATTAAAATGTACTACTGATTATTATAATGATAATAATAATGCTCCTAATGGCTAGGCTTCAAGAGCGAAGGGAGTTTGGAGAAGATCGTAGGGAGCCCATAAGGCATCCAAGGGGCAAGGGCGGTTGGCGTCGAGGCGGGCCCAGGGCTTTCCCTTCCCACTCCAATGCAGGAGGCTCACCGGGCCTGGATGCAAGTCTCTGCAAAGCCCGCGAAAGTTATCCCCGCCAAGCCCATGCTGGTTCCACCTGTGATCCACCGGGCCTATGTTCCCGGCGAAGACAAGTAAAAACGGAGGCAAGGAGCCCAGCTCGTAGATCCGCATTCTCTTCTGGAGCTCCATCCACTCCTGGATCTTCGTAGTGTAGTCGCCGGCCCGCCAGCGTTGCAAATCAATGACCATGACGCCGGTGTTGAAGTAGCAGGGCCTTCGGCCCGCGAAGGTGTTGGACAGAGAGGGGTTGGACCAGAAGGAGGGAGTGAAGTAGGCGCTGAAGTTGGCGTTACAGTATTCGGGCGCGGCGAGGACGGTGTTGTTGTTGTTGTTGTCGTCGTCTCCAAGGGGCGTAGCGGCGAGTTTGGATATGTCGTCGACGAGGACGAGGTCGGAGTCGAGGTAGACGATTTTGCGGACGCAGGAGGGGAGGAGGTTGGCGAGGTAGTTGCGGGCGTAGTTGAGGGGGCAATCGAGAGCGGAGCGGATGGATGTGGAGATGAGGCCGGCGACTTGGCGGTCGTTGAAGGGGTAGATTTGAAAGTTGAGATAGGGGAAGGAGTTGGAGAGGGTGCGGTTGAGGAGGGTGGTGGAGGAGGTCCTGGAGGCGGCGGTGACGAAGTGGAAGATAACATTTTCGGGGCAGGAGGAGTGCTGGAGGACGGAGAGGATGGCGGCCATGGAGCCCCGGAGGTAGGTGATGTCGAGTGTCATCGCCACGTGGACTGCCTCCTCTGAACACGTGCCGGTGGATTCCAGCCCAATGGTGGCACAGGTTGGAGAGTTGTAGAATTTGGGTGCTTGTTTGAACCGTTGTTGTTGTTTTTGTTGATGATGATGATGATGATGATGATGAGTAGTAATGGCAGTGGCATGATTGGAAATGATAAGGATGAGACAGAAACGTATTAATGTAGAGGAGTTGGGTGCATGATTAGAAGCCATGGCCTATCTTAATGGGACTTAGATAATCAAATGCCAGAAGGAGGATCCAAGGTTTGATCTATAACCATTTCAGGAAAACGAATCTGGGTGGGAATGGTGGTGGTGTTGGAGAGGGAGAATATGAATATGATAGTATCAGTTCCTCTTCTATTCTACCATGTTCTCTCTCTGCCTTTCTTCCCTTGCCTCCTTCTCAACACAAATTTGAAGTTGCTTCAAAAAATACCTCTGCCTCATCTTCTCTATTTATCTCCTTCCCCATATTTATACCCCTCTAATTTTACTCTACTCTCTCTCTACCTCTTATATTCTACCAGCTACTTATCTTGTACATTATGAAGTATAGTGGAGAAGTCTCAATACATTTCAGACTTGTCTTTGATTCACCCCGAATAATTAGAAAGAATTCTTTTGTAAAGTTTTCAATATTATATGTCACGCAGTAAATAAATATAATCTCGATATATCTCCCACAATATATGAGGAAATTTACAGTTCTTGTTCACCCATTAAAAATAGAACGGAATATCATAAATATGCCTCACGATTAATATATAACTAATGCATTGTCCAAAATTAGGCACCTTTTTTCTCATTCTTTTCCTTTCTTTGCGTCTTAATTGGAGGGATTTATCTTTTGTTTCAAATATTCGCATAACTATTACAAAAAATACTAAACATTCATAATTTTAATAGAATATAAAACTATATATGTGTCTGTCCGTATTTGACATCAATATGTTACTTTATTTATAAGAAATGATAAAAGATAAACATAAAAGTAAAAACTAATCACCATTTTTGAAGTAATAAACAATTTAAAGCAATCTAAAAACTATAGTAGTCAAGGATTGTATTAAATTGGAGACAATGTAGGAGTGAAAAATAAAAAATAAAAATCCCAGTGATTGAGGAATTGGGATGCACAAAAGGAGTAGATCACTTGCTCATAGCTGTGTGAGAAGGACCTGAACATGGTGTGACATAAACATTAAATGTCATCTAAAATAAAAATAAAAAAGTTGTTTTGGGTGTAGGTTAATTTCAAAGGGAAAGGGACATCGAAGCTAAAAGGTATCGTAAGGCAAGGACAACACAGTGACAACTTATCTTTTTCTCTATATCGTGACCTTCTTCTACCTCCATCACCACAAAGTCATGACCTGATGTAATTTTCGTAAATTTTACATAACTTGTTATTTCGTTCAGAGTTCATACTCCTTCATAAAAATCTCACCAACAAAATCTTCCATTAAATTAAAACTATCTGATCCGTTAAAGACCAGGGAAACTCGATTAAGCACCATCAACATGCACTACATTTCAAATAAATATCTCAACAGAATAAAATAATAGTAAAGTCTTACATTTGCTAACAATTATCTTTTTAATCCAACTTATAGATATATAATGGATTTTTAACTAACATGTTAATTTTTTACTTTACAAAATAACATATATTTTTTTAATTAATGTATCAAAATTATAATTAACGTTAATTAAACAAATGTTGCAAGATACAGTTTCTTAAATATGTTAAGATATTAGTGTTTTTTATTATTAATACAAAAACAAAACACATATTATTAACATATACAATAAATGAAAGTACAAGATGTACAAATCACATATTGTGAAGATAAAGAAATAGAAAAGTATGATTTAAAATTATATTCTTCTAAAGTTTGACATTTATATCAGTCTGAGCATATTCATTAGATTTGTTTGTCTCACTTCTATTTAATCTATTGTTAACTTTTCTTTAATTCAAATTATTTAATATTAGCTTTTAAAAATTAATAAAAAATCATAAATTAAAATTGAGGTATAAAAACAATGCATAAATTTAGGTACATGAAACACCATACATGTGCATAAAGTTATTGAATTTAGGTAACATGGTGTTTGGGAGCATAGATCCAATTTATAGATTGAGATTAAAGATTTTGTGACCAAAGGTTTTGTATTTTCCCATGTCCTAATAGTCAACCTATAAGCCAGGTTCCTGTCTATGGAGCTGGATTTGAATATAAATAAATTGATAAATGGGTTACTATATTAGCTAATTACAAACTTTTTCATTTTTTATTTAATGAATTCGTTGGTTTACTTTGACAGTAGTAACTAATTAAGAGTTTAATGGTATATATACTCGCTCATCTAATTATAAATCATCCTTAATATGATTTTTAAGGTAATAAAATTCTATAATTTTTTTATCTGTGGAATTTTTTTATTGAATAATAGTATATATATATATATTGCAATATCAGTGCACAATTTTTTTTTCTCTTGATGTAATATCATTCTTTGATTTTGAGTTTTCTAACATAAATTTTTGGTAAATTTGAAATTTCGACCAAAAGCTGCTCTTAAATTTTAACACGCCTAAAAAAAAGTAAACATACATATGGACATTTTCTACCATTTTTATACAATAATGGTGCTTGGCGAAAATGAAGTTAGGGAAATATGTATCATAGTTCAAATAATTCATTTACATAACCATTTTTTAAATGGAAAATTCTTATTTAATAATAAAATATTTATTAGTGATGATAAAGACCATTTGATTATTATACACTTTTTTTATGACAGGTAAATAATACCATTTGGCAGAAAAAAAAACTACATTTCTTACCTTTTTATTTATAAATTTCATTTTAATTTAAAATTTAAAAAGGCTGTGAATGTAATAGTGAAGTTATTATTAACATTGATGAAAAATTAAAAAATTAAAACTGAGATATTAATATTTATAATGTGGTTTTGAAAAAGAAAATAGAATAAGAGGTGGAGGAAAAGAAGGGAAGAATTTAAGGAGTTGTCTGGGATGAAAGCACACTTAAATTGACCAAGTGGAGCTTTCTGGAAGACCAAGAGTCCAAATCCAATACCATATGCTTGGTTTGGTAGCCCCAACATAAATTGGTCCCACTTCTTAATAAATGAGGATTGACTTTTTGTTCATCAACCTTTATTTTCTGTTCTTGTTTGTTTCTGCCGATTTGGGCCAAATTAACCTTCAACTTCAATTATGTGAAATGTGAATCACGTCAAGCATATCCTTTTACAATTCAACATCTAGAAATTTGCTTCGTATTTTATAAACATGTTTTTCTTCAATAATACCTGTTTATATTAAAGAAAACGTGAGTATATCATAGCCTTTTTTACCAGAGTTAAAAATATTTGAATTTAATTGATATAGGTGAAATTTTAAAAAAATTACTAAATGAGGTTAAATCGTGTTATATTAAAATTCGTGGAACGTAAAACAATTTCATAATAAAAAAATTAAAATCGTATTATTTGTGATGAATTCAACATATTTTTTTTATATAAAGTTAGTAGTACGATTTTAATTATACTCCGTTCTATTACATGGTACAACTTTAGTTTTATTTTTTTAAATAATTAAATTAATTTTATTAAATATATTATTTAAAAATTAATAATTTATTTGTTATTATATATTTATATTATAAAATATTATATTAATTATTTATATTGATTATTATTTAATATAAATTTTATAAATAATAGAAATAAAAAATATTTTAAATAAAAATTAAATATATTAATACATTTAAATGATGTTATATTATTTATTTCAAAATTAATAATATATATTATTTAGATAAATATATCATTTAAAAAATTGATATAAAATAAATAATTAATATAATATTTTAAATAAATATATTATTTAAAAATATATATTATTTAATCTTATAATAATAATAATAATATTATTATTGTATATATATATATATATATATATATATTACCTTTATTATTTATATAATACTTATACAAAGTTTATATAAAATAATAATTAATATAAATAAATAATTAATATAATATTATATATATATATATATATAATAAATCATAATTTTTTAAATAATATATTTATCTCAAAAACTTAATTTATTTAAAAAAACTATAAAAATATATATTATTAAATTTGAAATAAATAATATAACATAATTTAAATTAAAAAATAAATTTATTAATATATTTTATTTTATTTTATTTTCTATTTTTATTATTTATACAAAATTTATATAAAATAAATAATTAATATAATATATAATAATAAATAAGTTATTAAATTTTAAATAATATATTTATTTAATAAAATTATTTTAATTATTTAATAAAACAAAACCGAATTATATTATCTAGAACCACTTTAATTATATATGAATATAAATAAAGTCATCAAACAACTTTGATTTAGAAAAAAATAAAAACACTGTGAATATGATTTAATTTCTTTTATTAAATTTTTAAAAATTTGATCTATATCATAAAATCCAAATATTTTTAACAGACAGTGAAAAAACCTTATATTATGAGATACTGGTTTTTAAAAAATTACGAAAACCTTTTATAATGTGCATATTATTGATGGGTAAATGACGCATTGGACTCTATTTTCTTTATTCCATAATTTATAATTTCATTCTTTGAAAGTAAAGGTAGAACAGATAAAAGTACAGAAAAAGTTGACATAGCTAGACTCTCGCATGACCATTTAATTTGATTCTAAATCATAATTTATTAAACTTAGTATCACAAATTAGAAATAAAAATCGAAATAATATATATACCCACGTGTATATTTTGCTTCAAAAGTATCTTTGAAATTTTTCATTAGTTAACTCAAGCATACCTTAAGAAATTTGTTTATGATCATTGCAAAAAGTCACTATCTAATAACTAGAAATTATTATTCATATAAATTTGAAAAGTAATTATTATAGAGGTAACAAACCTAACATACATTAAATACAAAAAGATTCTTTAAAACATAAATACATACATTATATTTTTTTTGTGCTGAAATAACTGCGTAAGATATGGATTAAACCAATCTTTAAAATCCAATATTCTTAATAAAAATAATAATAACTATAAAAATCTCACCAAAAGATATCAATTAGATTTTTCATTTCATATTAGTATTAATAAATTTAATAAATAATCCATAGAATACCACGATAATAAAAAAATTAACTCCTTCATCCGATTAAATGCTCCAAAGTTCCCCTCTACAATCAAATGCCCGAATGAGGCTAATAGTTGGTTGCTCAAATATCTTTGATTTGATATTGATATATACTAAGATTAACAAACAAGAAAAGTCATCTGATTAAATAATATCTTGTCAACTATATCATATGAACAAGTAAATCATTCATCTACTTCTAATCTAATGAAAATTGAATTGCGAAGATTTGCTTAACAGTCCCTCTTTTAATTACACCTTTTATAGTTTTTTTATTTCCCCATCATGGTTTATTGGTCTCCATTTTCTTAAAATGTAATTGAGCATTGATTGGTTCCCATCTTTAACATGAAATGTAAGTGGTTTCCATTGTCTTTTAACCTGTCAAGCATTTTTAATAACTTCTTTTCATATTCAAAAAACCTTCAACCATCATTTGTAAACCAATATTCACCCTAACTAGTAACTACCACACCCATCAAAACGCCTCCTTTAAACTTACGTCTGTATAGGCGTCAAGTACAAAAGATTTGCCCTTGGATTCGATGAATAAAAAGGTTGAATCAGAAATTTAGAATACAATAAAAGAAAACGTTGCCCTCTTATTTTGAAAAATATGGCTTTCTTTCCAATTTCTCTTTAATCTTTTTTCCTATGAGTGTTTTTCCTCTCCTCCAAACATTCAACAAAAACCAGAAAACATGTTAAGATTATCTTCTGTCCAATACCCAAAATCAGATAAAATATTGACTGCAGCTTCATCATTGCCTCAACTTTCAATGATATCTAATGGAATTATCTACAAACAAAGCTAACTACATGCCCAAATCACAATTAAAGAATTCACAGTATGTCTCCAAAGCAGATCCAAATTACATCTATAGTAAAAGGATGTATTTTTCGTGGCATACCGCCATCTTGAATCTTTTAAACAATCCAATAGTTTCCATTTTTATGAAACCAGACACAGAATTTGTAGGTAGTAAGCGGCAAATAGCATTGAAAGTTCCAGTTATCAATCAATCACAACAACTACCCAATAATGAGATACCGTCGTTGCAAAAGTTCTGCTGCTAATGACCATGCAACAGTAATAGTAAGGATATTTTTATTTAAGTTTCATTGACAAAGTTTCTAGAAGAGGAAAGTGAGAAGAAAAATGAATTAGTTTTACCATAAACTAAAATAGCTTATGGATTGTCGAAGAAATATGAGAAGGCTACTAAAATATTATGTTATACATAGTAATTTTAAAATAGATAAATCTAATTTTATTTTTTATTCTAAAAATACTATCGTTGGAATTGAGATCTCATTCAAAGAAAAAGATATCAAATATCTGAAATATAATTTATATTATATGAATGATCCGATCCGTAAGGACCATTATTGAAAAAAAAATTATTGTCTTTCCCGGATGAAACATAATTAACTTGAATTCAGGACAACTATTTGAAATCTTATTGAAAGACTGGATTTATTACAACTATTCGAAATCTTATTGAAAGACTGAATTTATTACATCATGTTTGCTTTTTGTGAAAAAATACCAAAGGAAGTAGAGGATTTCTTCAATTAACAAGGGACTGATAAATTATTCAATCAAATGATATTGAACATGTTTCCCATCTCTTCTTGAGAAACAAGCTATATGTGACAATTCCGTAGATCTCTTCGTTAGTTGGGGAAAAATTCCGCACGAATTAGATTTTTTGAGGAACATGTCAAGATCGAATTGGATTTGGTTAAACAATGGTAAAGAAACAAAGATCAATTTTTTAGCAAGGTACAAAATGTATAATCAAATCTTCCACGGTATCTAATTTCATTCAAGTAACAAATAGACTACCCGCTATCAACCAAAGAATATGGGATGACTTGGGAGAAGCTACTAAAAGACAGTAAAAACAAGAAGCAAGTGATAAAGACCGAATATGTAGCATTCAAGTTCACTGCAGATGCTTATGATACAGTTAGTGATGAGCCAAACAGGCAGCAGCATTCTCAAACATACAATTCCCTCTTGAATTGGCTAAAATATTTACACACATCTCCTTAGGAAGCATTGTAACCTCAACACAAAATGACATTACCACACAAAAATAACAGTAAGAACGACAAGAAATCCAATCAACATAAGCAGATTCTTCAAAACATTATCCTCCTGCCGCTGCACTTGGCCGCCAGTTGCCTGCGAATACCCCCGCATGCCCCCTCCGTGAAAGCTATTAAACCCAAAGGGATAGCCAGAAGTTGTCCCATAGACAGTGGCATCCTGAAAGCCATGGAAATGAATGTTGAGTAGTGACGGGATAAACCCAGCGAAGGCGGTGGAAAGCGTGAAGTTCCCAAATCTGGCAGTTGCCATGGGAATGAACCCTCCCATGAGTCCAAACCCATAACTCCCAAAAGGGTTGCCCTCAGGATGAGGCGGGGGCGGCGCAGTTTGTGGCCTCTGCCCAGAAGGACGGTGGGGGATCTCCATTCCAGGATATGATTTGGTCCTGGGATCAGCCTGTGTTTTGCCCCTTCCATAAAGAGGCACCAATTTCTCCTCCTGCACAAGGGCCTTGCAAACAGGGCACTCTTGAGAATGGGAGTGATGATGGAGCCACCTATAAAGGCATGGCCAACAGAATAGGTGACCACAGAGTGTGATCACAGGATCTTGCGCCAAATCGAAGCATATGTTGCATTCGAAATCACCAGCATCGTTTGAACTGTTCCCCGAGCATGATGGGCTCGGAGCAGACGCTCTCGTTGATTCCCCAAAACCACTCGTCATTAGTCTAACCCCTCACTCAGATCTTCACAAACAGAATCGGTTACAATGCCAACCAAACCCTACAATGTCACAAAAAAAGAAGAAAAAAATCATCATTGGCTATATCACATGTCACCGACAAGACCGTGCTAAAATACAAATCAGCGAATTGCACTAAGATCCACAATCAATCGAAGTATCGACGGACAAATCTAGAGATTGAAGGTGGCAATTAGCGGAACTCGAAAACGAAACGAAAAGGAAAAATGATTCAATAAAAAAAAAAAAAAAAAGTGATACAGATCTCGTCTCAGAATCTAAACATAGAAAATTATAAACATGAATTGATGACAAAATAAGCAATATGGAAGAGAAACTTACAATTCGGTAGAGGGAAAGACAACTGGTTAGGAAGGCAGAAGAATCTTGATTGGAAAAGTAAATCCTCCGATACCAAGCCCCAAATTTGGTTGTCACCGAACACCTCGTGGAAGATTCCAGGTTCTCTACGTGCATCTCACCTTCTGTCGTTTGTTTATTTATTTATTTATTTATTATTTATTTTTGTCTATTCTGTCCATTATTCTATCATATGAGTAAATCGGCCCGTTTCACTTTCTGCCATTTTGGGCCTTTACGCATTATGATTAATTAGTTCCAGGCCCGACATCAATGATAAGTATGAATTATATTTTACTGTGAATTATGTAAAGGGTTAAAATTAAAATTTACATACAAAAATGTAACATTCATTTTTTTATATCGAGAGGTAATCTTTACTTACAAATTATTATGTTAATGGAATGAGTATTCTTTAAGTAAAAGCATTGAAAAACTAGCTTTAATATTTTTCTCAAAATATAGAAAGACTAGTATTTTTGCATATTTACGAAGTCTAAATGAATATTTATTTTATGTAATAAATAAATACATATACTATATAAATTGTATTTAAATTATAATTTATAATAAAATAATATTTTTAAATATATAAATCTGATTTTTAGATTGATAATAAACAGTGTATACTTATTATTCAAAGTACTAAAACTAAAGTTATAATATGAGTATATTGAAGTGATAAATTGAGAGAGATAAGAGATTACAAAAAATTCTAAAAAAGCATTTTATTTTTCTAAGAGGTCTTCCTAAATATGCTTTTGTTAAAGAATACAAATCAATAACATTTTTCTTCAACATGTATTCAATGTTTTTAATAAATAAAGTAATTCTATGTCTTATTATAATTATGTTATTGTTTGTACATGTACAGTGTTGGAATGTGATCAAAGGAGTTAGAATTTAGGTCAAATTTAACTATTTATAGCTTTAAGAGTCTTGGATTAAAAATAATATTATATTTTCTATTTACTATGGGATAGACAAACAATAAATTTGTCATTTTTATTATCACATTATAATGTTTTATTTTTTTTAAATGCAATAAATATTTAAATTAATTAATATTTGATTAGGCTTAAATAATGAAATACAAATATTTTATCAAATATAAAATAAATTAAATTGTTAAAGAAAATAAAAATGGAGAGTTAAAGTTAGAAAAATAAAATTAGAAATAAAAAAATTAACAGCGAGTTGGATTTAATATTCAAAAGTTAAACCTCAATCGTTAATATGTATTAATAAGTATTATTAATTTTTGTTATTATTCTTATTTTACTTAAATTATGATACTTAAAAAAATCTTAAAGGAGACAATTTGGAGAAAAAACTCTTAGATTAATAAATGTTTTATTCATAAATGCTTATAAGAATTTTGGGTTATAATAAATTATAATTTAATTATTAATTTGTATTTATTATTTATGCAAATTGGTAGGACATATGAAAATCTCTTAACCCTTGATAAAATATAAGAGTGTAAGACTTTCATAATTTAAGCGTTGATTTTTCTTAAAAAGTATTTTATACAATTCATTTTCATGAGAAAATAACAATATGTTAGAATTAGAATAAAAGGTTACAAATTTTTTTATTACTTTAGGCACACTAGATGATTGAATTAGGTTCTGAGGTCTACATACAATTTGTAAGTAATTGAATTAACTTAAAAACAAAATAAGAATTAACTTTAAAATCAAATAAGAATTAATTTCATATGATTGGTATACTTCTCAATATTGATTTTATACCAAAAAAGATATAGAAGTATAAGAGAAAATAAGTGTTTATTTTGGTATACTTCTCAATGTTGATTTTATACCCAAAAAGTTATAGAAATATAAGAGAAAATAAGTGATTACTCAAAACATAACCTATATAAAAGTAACTTTTTATTTGTAAATCTTATCTGCATATGAATGTCATATATATTTGAAATGTGATTTGATGAATTGCTTTTATTGAGATGATAATCCTATGAGAATCAACATGTATTTTGTTTTAAAGTGTGTTAGAGTTATAATAATTTAAGTCCTTATGATTTATCTTAATTTATATTACAAGTTAGTTATGTGTTTTGATTTTGAGAATAATTAATATTTATATAGAAAATTAAAAATCCAAATTATATTTAGTCGACGTAATAATGAGTTATATATTTAATGTATATATGTTTTAATTATTAAATTTGTATATATAATTTATTTATTTTAACTATTTTAATAGTAATAATGAATTATATATTTATGTATATACATTTTATTTATTCAAACTTTTTTATACTTATTTTATTTATTTTAACTATTTTGATGGTAGATGTAATACAGGAATAAGAGTTTCTATAATCTTTTATATTGGCATTCATATAATGGAAATCTCTTATCTTTCTCATCTTTGAGTGAATTATGACCATCACTATTATTTTGTATTATAAATATTTTAGTTGAGAGTAAATTAAAAGAATTTTTATTATTGGATCAATTATTAGGGATGACAAAATAGGTTAGACTATCCATTTTTTATCTACCCCGTATTTCACCGAGTAAAAAATAGATTGGTCCATTATAGTTATCAAAGACTGTAGGTCTTAGCTCGCATTACCAAAAGTGGGTTGATAGATCGACCATCATAAATATTAAAATTATCATTTATTTATCAATAATTCAACATATATATTTCAAATTAATAATATAAATCCACACATTGTTTTAAGAAATTATAATTTATAATAATAATAAAATTTATATAATAATAAATAATAAAAATTATATATAAATATTGTCAAAACTTGTAAAATTTATATTTTTTATATTAAAAAATTTAAATACTTTTATTTTTTTATTTGCTAAAATTTCATATTATTCTCCCATCAAGTAATTCTTATAATTTTAATTAAAGTTATAAGTATAATAACAATCAATACTCATATGACTAAAGTATATATAATGAACAACAAGAAAAAGAAGAGAAAAGAGTTTATATTTGAATAAGAAGAATGTTTTCTATAATGAATAAAAATGAGACTTTTTTAATTCTCATTTTACAAATTATCATTTAATATATTACTTTTATGATTACCTATATTATAATAAATTACCTATATTATAATAAAAAATAGTTTTTTATTAATTAAATGGGTTGCAAGTCTGGTTCAACGAATTGACAGATTTGACTAGATGAAATAGAATAGGTTGGTGGACTAAAAATACAAACTAATCATGTTATATTTATAACCAACTAACATGTTAGTTTGTTTTGACATACTTATTCATGTATCACTTCATATGAGAGTTCATTATATGATATTATATTAATATAGAGATATATTTAAGTTGATTAAACTATCTTTTATAAAAAAAAAGATATTGTGGAAAATGGATTTTTTTACGTAATATTCTTATTAAAGATGACATTAAATAAAGTGATTGCATATTTATTTTAATTTTATTTCTAGATATTATTTTAAAATTTTATTATTAAAATTTTTGTAAAATATAATGGCTAAAAAACATTTTATTTCAAATTTAGGAAGTAACATATATGAATTATTTTAAGTTTATATTTTGTAAAATAATTGTATGTATTATCCATGAATTAATTTATTCATAAGTTATTTTGCAAATTTAATTAAAAAATAATTTTTTAAACTCATAAATAAACTAATTAACTTGTTTAAAAACTAATTTTATTTTCTAAAAAAATTAAGATATCTTTGAAACAGATATAGCATAGTATGGCATGGCTGACGAAACTGGAGTACTGTGCCAAAAGTTTTCCAGATTGGGCCGGCGAGCATCTTGTGATTGCCAACATTTAAGTGCTAAAGTATGTCTCCTTATTCATTACTTGGTAGGCCATTCAATTGGTGTTTCGTCGTATTTTAGTTCATCCGTGTCCCATTTCTTCCGCGGAAAGATAGTACTTGTAGGCTGCGTTAGCCATCGTCCTCGTTTTTTTAATTTTTTTTTTTCCTTCAATAGTAAGGTTTCTTCATCCCTGTTCTTGTCAAAGAAGTTGCGATTTTGGCGTTTGGAACCAGCAAAACCACGCTTGTTCACGTGTTTCCTTCCACCCATCTACATGTCTTGTCGGTTCGGGTCAGTCTAATCTAATTCTTCGGCTTAAGTATTATAATTTGGTGATCAGTTTAGTAAATATTTTTAAACAAATTCTATTTTTTTTATCGAACATGCTCTTATATTAAGTTAAAGAACTAATAGGTTAATATTAGTTTTATTTTTTTTTTTTAAATTAACATGTCTATTTATAAAAAGTAATTTAAAAATATTTAAATTATATTGATAAAATTTTAAATATAATGATTTAATATGTATAAACTATAAGAAAAATAAATCAATTTAATCTTAAAATAAAAATTAAAAAATTACTCTTAATTATCATTGTTTAATTTTTAATAATTTATTATTTAAAATAATAATTCATTTTAATTATTAATATTTTTTAATGATTTATTGATATAAAATAATAATTTATTTTAATTATTAGATAGTAAAATGAATGAATAATAATTTTTTTATATTTACTTTTATAATAAATTATTTTATTAAATAATATATATATATATAATATAAATAATAATATTATTATTTTTTATCTTTATTTTTTTATTATTTTATAAAATAAATTACTATATAAATAATAAAAAATAAATCTTAATTTAAATGAGTACAATTCAAATAATCTTATTTAATTTAAATCACAATTTTTTTAATTTAATCTAATCTATCTTTTCAATTTTTCGATTATATCATATTAAATTTATTTTAATATCTTTATTCATCACTATAAATTATTATATTATCGAATAAGAAAAAACATCTAATATAAGGTTATAAAGTTTCCTTGAGATTTGTTATCATATATTGATTTTTCATCGTATAAAAATAATAACTATATATACAGTTCATTGTTTTTTAGGTTAAGTCAGTCTAAAAGAGTATGATAAAACAACAGATAAAAAAAATAAAAAATAGATATTATTCAAAAAGTCAAGGAAAGGTAAGGAGTAGTAGTTGTCGGTTAGTAGAGTCCTTATTTGATTACCGCGTGGCTCAGAGGTAGTAGTTAAAGCGCGTGGTCCAAGTTAATAATTTATCGCCACGTACCAACTTGGGCAACTCTATTTGCTACTACTACGCACGCCACGAATTTAATGTCTCTCTCCCCTTGAGTCACGACGCGCCACCGATTCAAAACTAAATCAATTTTCAACCTACAATAACAACAACTTAAAAAAGACGAGGGTAATGTGAAGAGGACCAGAGTCTCCAGCATGTACACGTCACCGTCCGTTGGTACCCTCGACAAGGCCACGGCGGTGATGAAGGCCTTCAACTTTTACCTCTCCGAGCACCCCGCCATTGTGAGGTTCCGATGGAGCCACCCTCTATGCTGGGGCTCAACCTGGTCCTTCCTCTTCTCCTCAATCGCCGTCTACGTCGTCGTTTCCATTTTCCTCCACCTAATATTAGCGTTGCTTCTTCGCCGCGGCCAGCGCGTTCCGCTTGGGCCGTTACCGGCGCTTCACAACCTCACAATGTCGCTCATTTCCGCCACCATATTTGCCGGGCTTCTGCTCTCCGCCTCGGCTGAGATCAAAGAGACGCGGTGGCTCTGGAGGCGCTCCAAGACCCCGATCGAGTGGCTGCTCTGCTTCCCCCTCGGGACGCGCCCCTCCGGCCGCGTGTTCTTCTGGTCCTACATTTTCTATCTGTCGCGTTTCGTTAACATGTTGAGCACCGTGTTGGTCATTCTACAACGTCGTAAGCTGGTTTTTTTCCAGTTGTTTTATCACGCGATTTCCACGTTCATGTCGTTCCTGTGGCTGGAGTTCTCGCAATCGTTCCAAGTTCTGGCGATCCTCTTCACCACGCTGGCGTTTTCCGTTATGTACGGGTACCGGTTCTGGACTGCGATCGCGACGCGTGGCGCGTGTTTGCCGCTCGTGCTGAACTGCCAGATTGTGCTGCTTGGGTGCAACTTGGTGGGCCACGTTGGGGTGCTTTTGCTTCATTTTTTCACAGGGGGATGCAACGGGATTGGCGCGTGGGTCTTCAATTCGGTGCTGAACGGTGCTATTTTGATGCTGTTTCTTAATTTTCATATGAGAGTGTATTTAGGAAAGAAGAGGAAACATAATAAGAGTGTGGGTGATTGTGAATGGGGTGAGAATAAATTCGCTCGTTCCTGCTCTGTCTTTGGCGCTGGAAAGGAAGCAGATAGCAACAAATTCAAGTCCAGTTAAAAGCACGTATTGATGGAATTGGGCATTCTCACTTTTGTAATTAAAAACATATATGCACATTCTATAAGAAGGCAAATATGTTTGTAGGAAGATCTGTAAAGTTTATTCTTAAAAACTCTTTTTGATCCTTAACACTGTAAGTTACGTTCATCGGTTATCTCTTTCACAGATTCATTGATTGAAGCCTTCTCAATTCTTCATCACCTCATCCCACATGCAATTTAATTTTTCATGTTGCATTCTCATGCTACTCTACAAAGGAAGTGATGCCATCGAACTTTTAATTCAACGTTGATCTTTGAACTAGTGTTGACCTTTGGTACTTCTTTTAACTTTTCATGTTGCACTCTCGTGCTACTTTAGACACATTATTACGACTAATGCATTGATTTGTTCATACATCTTTATTTATTAATATATGTTAGAAGTGTATGCTTTTTATTATCATTATTGTTTTTTTTATTAGGATGTATTTTATTATTGACGATATTAAAAATAGTTATTACATGTGAGAAAGTTGTGAGTTCTTATCTAGTTATGTTGATTTCTATCGGTGGTAAGACTTGACTCAGTTGAGAATAATTATAATAGGTGATAAGTCATTGTGTCGAAAATATTTTTAACAAGGATTTCAAGCAAGCGATCATCGTTAAGTTGAAAAACGATACAAGTAAGATCATTATTAGGTACTCATGATTAAGAAATGTTTTCGCTCAAGGGGGAGATATACCAATATGAAAGAAATCATACTTGAGGGTAAGATGTTGAGAATTAAGTGTTAGGTTTAAGTCCTACATTGGGTAGAAATGAGAAAATTGAGTAACTTATAAGTGAGAAAGACCCATGACCTAATGCCTTAAGTTTTGGGTTGACAGTGATATTATATTCTTTTATATGGTTGGTTTGGGTTTCATGTGTAGTAATATTCCTATTGTTAGTATCCTGTATGTACTTATTCTTTAGTATATTTCAGTTGCATTTTATGATGTGACACATCTACTTTTAAAAAAATTGACCAAGGCTGAAATCTTAACTATTAAGGATTTGAGTGATTGAAAAATATTCATATTATGAATAATTTATATATATGATTTTCCTGAGTTAAGCTTGTATTTTCTTCTCCTACAAAACATCTAAAATAGTGTTAATCATATTTGTTTATTTTTTAGAATATTTGATGGGTTGTTGGTTGTTAAATTATTAGAGGATGATCATGACCCATCCAATTAAGTGTTTTGAGCTTCCTCTTAATAAATTGATGATTGGGATTTCAACGTGCATCAAGACTCGTATATATGAGAATATGTTAATGAAGTGTGTAATTGTCTCTCTACCTTTTAATTATGTCGCCCAAAAACTTTCACTTTTTTCTTGGTATTTTTTCTCAAAACCAGTTTAGTTCATCTCGATTTTTATTATATGATAATATGCAATATTTGCACGAATGTTGATTTCTTTTTTTTGTTGGATCTCTTTCGAATGATTTTTTTGTTGTAAAAGCTGACAAAGACACAAACAAATTTTATTCCTGAGACATGTATAATCACTGCCCTTAAAGACTTATCTGTAGTGTATTGTGCAAATCCCCCAGGATACAACAGGAACTTCTCGAAATTTTTGAAGATCTCAAAAACTAGCAAGAAACTCTTAAAATAGTAAATAAACTTAGAATAATAATAGAATAGGAAGAAAATAGATGAGAGAGGTGTGTTTTTGGAAGAGTGTGAAATAGTCTCTATTTATAGGTGTAGATTGGACGCAAAACCCTAATTACCTACGTGTAAAAAAAAAATCCACCAACAACCACCTCACCCCAATACTTAGGAAGTGCCATGAAATAAGGAGAAAAATCTGCAGCAGTTAGAGGAAGACTTGGTAGTAGGTCTGTAACGTTCTCTACAACGTGTGAAAGTGGATTCCTTGTTTTTCTGCAATACAGTTTAAAAACAATCCCCCACATATTGCAAAAACAAGAAGAAGATAAAAGAACAAAAGAAGAAAATCCTGGGTCTCATATAAGATGTAATGCATCAGAACTAGTATAGTAAGTTATATGAATCAATCTTAGACGGAAAACTTAACACATAGTGTAGTTGGTATAACAAGTTATATGAACTAAAACACTTAGTGTGTGTTAGTGGTTTAACAATCACAATTCACCCTCACAATTCTTGTTGTTATCGTTATGTTGCGCTTACTAGGCCATGCACGTAACCGATATTCATGAGTGCTATAAAAATCTTGCAAAGATATCATACAAGCAGCCCCACTCGACACTCATATAGGTGACTTCATCAAGTGTATGTTGTAAATCATACACCACCCATAAAGGATATGAAATCATTAAAAACTTTGTTTAGACTAAAATCCGTACACCACATAAAATTTTAATTACAAAGTTTAACCTCTTAATGATGCAGTATCTAGCACTTTCACATGTACACCATAGGAATGGACATAATTGATTTTAATCATTTTTAGTATTAGCAGAACTAATAAGTGACTTATTTTTACCCATATGAACCTTATTCATGGGATCTTCAATCACAAAGGTTGGGTTACCATCACATATTTGTTTACAAGTGGCTTAAGTCTCATTCCCCTTGATATTTTTAAATCATATTTCTCGCCAAGAGTTTCGTCAGAGGATCGTTAAGGGTTTCGTCAGAGGATTTGCTAGATTTCATTCTGACTTCACATAGTCAATGAAAATTGTTCCATTCTTTAGCATATGCTTCACTAAATTATGTCTCAATTGTATATGTCTGTTATTTCTATTGTAGTTCTTATTTTTAGCTATAGCTATTACCGATTGGTAATCACAGTGTATTGATATAGATGGGACCGGTTTCATTCCTAATGGAATGTTTGCTAAGAAGTTTTTCAACCACTCAGTTTTACTACCAGTCATTTTGAGAGCAACAAATTCAGATTCCATTGTTGATCTTGATCTTGCAATAATTGTTTGTCTGGCTGATTTTCATGTAATCGCACCATCCCGAGTGTGAATACATAACCATTAGTGAATTTTGTCTTATATGAATCAAAGATATAGTTAGCATCATTGTACATTTCTAGTACAGTAGGGAATTTACTATATTCAATGACATAATCCATTAAACCTCTTAAGTATCTCATAAGTCTTGCAAGTACATTCAAATGTTTTTATTAGGACATTGAGTGTACATACTCAGTCTACCTACTGTATAAGCAATGTCAGATCTAGAAAAACTCATAAAATGTAGTAAGCTTCCAATTACCCGCATACTGAGGTTGAGAGATTGAGTCTCCTCTATTTTTCTTTAACTTAGAGTTAGCATCATAAGGGGTATTCATGGGTTTGATGTTATAACGCCCAAACTTCCTAAAAAGTTTCTCAATGTATTGTTCTTGGGATAGTAAAATACTATCGCCCTTCCTGATGACTTTAACTCTCAAAATCACATTGGCATCACCTGTGTCTTTCATTTCAAATTAGATCCCAGAAACAACTTAGTTCTAGAAACAATGTCAATGCATGTACCAAATATTAGCATGTCATCTATATATAAATATATAATGACACATTCACCACTTTCAAATTTAGAATACACACATTTACCAGCATCATTAATTGAAAAACCATTACAAAGTATAACACTATCAAGTTTTTGTTGGAAAATTAATAATAATAATAATAATAATAATAATAATAATAATCCTGATTTTGATTCTAACAATCAAACATAAACATAATCCCATACTGATAAACATGCTGTAAACTGAATGCGAAAGCGTACCTGAATTAGTCATAACGATGATGTCTTTGTAGAGCACTATATTGATCTTATGGTTTTCCACCTGAAGAGCACCTGTATTTCCCTCTTGATTTTCTCTCTTGATGGGGATAGAAAGAAAGGAACGGGACCGATACTTACGTTACGTGTGTGTGCTCTCGAAGGGGACCATGACCCTTTAGATAACCGGAATTAGGTTAATTACTTAAGTTTTAGTATTTCCAATTTGGCCCTCATCAAATTAGAAATTGCTTCTATGGTCTCTACACAATTTTATTTTCATGACATATGTTTTTAGCCAAAACTTTAATTTAGTCAGATCACTTTATTATTTGGCTTAATAAATAATGGCCCTAACACATTTAAATTATGTATCATATATATACATGACCCAAATTTTTCCAACAATCTCCCACTCGGTCACAAATATATATGTCCTTACAACCTTACAAATGTGTTAGACTTTATGAGCTCAAAATTGCCATTATATTCCTTTAGCATACTCCAAAAGTCCTGTCCATTAATCATATTAGGATATAGAACCAAACCAGCTTTTCATTGCATCATCGCAACTAAAACCAACAATGATTACTCATCCTAACATAACCAAATGACATGGATTCATCATGAAATGTGTAGCATGAAAAATTACGTGAAGGTGATCTGTACACGTCTATTTTCAACTGGTCCAAACTTTAAGTTATTGAGATCGATATAATATCCTTAATGTACAAAGTGTAATGAATGAACGAAAAAATCGCATATCTATAGATAACCAAATATGTCCAAAAAACAATGTATACATATATGAAATTAAACATAGAACATAAAATATATAAAAGTGACTAACTCCCACTAAACCACAAATTCCTCAAATTGTAAAACACCCATGTGAGCAAAATGTTCATGAAAGACCTTGGGTGGAAGTCCTTTAGTCAGAGGATCTGGTATCATGGAGTTTGTCCTTAAGTGTTCTATGGAAATCTGTCCACTTTGTACTCTTTCCTTAACAATACAGCTGATTTATTGTCACAATATAACTTAAGTGGTCTTTCAATGCCTTTCACAATTTGTAGCCCTGTGACAAAATTTCTCAGCCATATTCCATGATTTGATGCCTCATAGCATGCTACAAATTCTTGACATCCTGCAAAATATGAGTCAGAAAATCCAGCGATCTCCAACTGGTCTGACCTCCTGTATGTGAGCATATAATCTTTTGTT